CTGTGATCTGATGCAACACAAACACACACACACGCAGAAAGTACATTTTTATTAGTATTCATTTGAAAATGTTGTATTTTTTTTCTTTGTATTTGTTCATAGCAAATGTTTTTTTAATTGTACATGGTCCCTTTCATAGATAATAAAGGAAATATTTTTATACAATGCATTTTTCTTTTTTAATTTTTACTTTACTGTCAAATTCAAACATAATTCTCTGGCATGAGCTAAATTATCCTCTGTGTACACTTCTGTATAGCTTCTGCTTTTACCCGGCTCTCAAGACGGTCGCTGTTGAGTCTCAGCTCATTCCTCTCCTTCTCAACCCTCTCCAGCTTCTGCTTCAGCTGCTGGATCTCTTCCTGAGGGTGAACACACACACATTACAGCCAGGCATGCATGTTTGTCAGGGCACAGCAGATGAAGTGAGTCAATCACCATATAAACTAAATTAAAACATGAGGGTGTTCTTATTTGTGTTAAATTCTAGAGTATGGGTGTTGCCTACGATAGGCCCTATCTTACTGTTACCTCTGAAATCTCTCTTGAAAGATATGATGCAGTCTGACTGATCACATTTATTTATCAAACAAATACTCTGGTGAAATCCTTGTCTTACAGTCGGAGTGGTCAAAATTCCAAAGACGAGAATGAAATTATTCAATATTTTCAAGGACATTCTGGTTTTTATATAAACCTTCAAAAATCCATCAGTTTAACATTCCTCCAGAAACATGTTTGTGATTTCCCATTTCAGTGCGAGTGATTCTAACAAAAAGCAACAATTTTTCAAAATAGACTGTGTGTGTGCATGGTTTTATTATTTCACTACCTTTGCGGCAAAAACTGGGAGCCCACTATACTTGTAGGGACCAAAATGCCCGAGCCCAAAGTTGGTTTTAGGGTTGGGGCATTGTTATGGTTAAGGGTAGAGAAATGACCGTCAGTGGTGTGTGTGTGTGTGTGTGTGTGTGTGTGTGTGTGTGTGTGTGCATACGTACGTCCTTCCCGCGGATCTGTTCCTCAGTGAGCTGCACCTCTATCAGCGGTCTGACGGTGGTGAAGAGCTTCCACCATGGCCAGTGTTTCACACCACGATTCTTCTTTATGTTCTTCTGGATGCAGCGGATGGCCAAATCCTGGATCTGTCAAAACAGACACAGACACAAACACAACAATATTAGAAGAACACAGAATTGAATACTGTGTGAATAGCTGTAACCAAACCAACATTGCTGGTTTCCCCCATTTGCTAAAGTGTCTATAGAAACAAAAATAGGTCTGTGATATCAGACCATGACGGAATATTTCTTTCTAACTCTAACCCTACATAGCCTCAAATGAAAAAAATGTGATTCAGGTCAATAACTAAAATAGATTTATATGAAAAAGAAAGTGTGTGACACATTGTGAAAAGAGATTTGTAATGTGTCCTTGGTGAAGCGCTCAGTTTCCAGCTCCCTCTGCAGAACGTCAGCATGGTGCAAAGTCTGCACTGCACAGAAGACCACAAGACACGGAGCCACAGCTGTTTGCCGTGCAAAAAGGGAAATTAACCCAATGTGGTGTAACTGCAGTAAATTGCCTGGGACTAATGAGAATGTTTTGCAGCAATCTTTAATATTCTCCATTAGTCAAGTCATTGTGAGCAAGTCCAAAGAATGCACCTTAACCTTCGTGTCTTTCTAAGGAAAAACAATGTTCAATTTTTTTTTACAGTGTTTTATAGTGAGGTTCACGATATGAGCACCTCACAGATGTGCAGAGGCAGACTCTATACCATTACTGTATATCTCCCCTGTCTTCCTGTGTTATAAACCATCAATCACAAGCAAAAGTATATTTTAAACCTCACAGAAAAATGGTCAGTGAAATGGTTTGATTCCCTACAGAGATCAACCGTCTATCAAAACCAAATGTTTGGGTGGGAACTCCAATGGGCTTTCTGCTGTGACATGAAACTTAAGATGACGGTTGAAAAAGTGGTTTATGACAGACTGAGGTGGGACTTTTTCTTAGCACCCATTAGTGCAGCACGAGGTCACCACTGTTGTCCAGAACAGTGTCAGCTTAATGGTCTCTTTAAATCACCACCACGAGAGGCATGAGGACAAGTCAAAGTAGCTTCTCAGACCACGATGTATTGGCCGACTCTGTATATGACAGAGAAATGAATTAATGCAAAGTTCCCGACTCAGATAAGTAAGTGGAGGTAAGTGGATTTATTGTAGACACATTTTTTCATTTGCATTTTGAATATCTTTTGCTTGTTTTATTTATAAATGGGTTGACATGCTGTCCGAGCTCGCTGTTTGTTCCAGGTTTACATGCTGCTCCATCAAAATAAGTTAAAATGAGAGACATGAACAAAGAGAGGACTCGTCAGCACACGCCAGCTCTTTATGATCACACATGATTCAGATTGTTCAGTCGTTTCATTCACTTTGTGCATCTATGCACTTGAGGTTTGAATGACGGATGTTTGTCAGACAGACTGTTCATGTTTCAAGCGCAAATCAAAGCATTTTCTCTAACTGCAGGTAATCTGGAAAGCCATTCATAACACACAACAGGGACAGATTGCTCTCTACAGTAAAGCCTGGCATGACTGGGAAATCCTGATTGTAGAAATCAGAGAACGTTCTACAGGATTTTTTTCCCCCCCACAGAAAAAATGCGTAACTAAAAATGTCTGTGTCCGTTTCCATGTTTAGGTGATTAGGAACGACACAGTTACCGGAGCTGGATTAGGGAACTTGAGCATGTGGTTCAGAGAGTGGTTTCAAAGCAGAGAGCTGACAGAGGGCATAGGGAGGAGGTCTGTGCAGCAGCAGTGTGGCAGGGTTTAAGGACCCATCAGGAGCTTTGAAGAGCAGCTCCTTCTGGCCCATTTCACTCTCAACTGTCATCTGAACACTTAAAATGTGTTCAGGTCTGATTACCGCACTCGTTCTGACCCGAACAAAAAACCTTCTCCCTTCAAGCTACCACTCAGCAAAAACAGGGCAACTCAAGAAAGACTTAAACCTAATTTTAGGTTCAGTCTCATTTTTTCCCCTTGATAAAGAACCTTGTTAAAAAAAGCAATTATAATATTCAACTATTTGTTGTCAGCTACATCTAACAAAAGAAGAAGTTTGGAGGTCAGTCTCATGAGGTAAAAATAGAAATAGCACTACAAATATTCACAGCAGGACAGTCCTACGCTTGTTTCTGCTGCTCCTTAAGAAAAATGACATATGTTCTGAACATCCAGCTCGTGGTGTCGCTCCTGTCTCTCAGTGAGTGAATTTACTTGCACACACAAAAAAAAAAAAAATCCAGGTTACTCAGGTAATTGGAGAACGTGTTTCCATGCACTGTGGTAACCTGGTTACCGGTTTCTGTCTTAGGGAAACTATTTAATTAGATTCAATGTTGACTGGCTTTCGGTGGAATCCCCCATGCTCCTCCACTCTCAACTGTTCCCCCACGAGAACAAAGAGACAGAGAGAGAGAGAGGAGAGAGGAGAGAGGAGAGACAGACTGCAGGGCCTTAAAGCAGCCGGCAGATCTCTTTCTATTTGTCTATTCCCGCATGGCGAGGCACAGTCTATCTTTCTCCAAGCTTTGCTTCCTTTCTCCTCTTTCTTCATTCTCCTTCTCATTTATTTCCTGGAGTGCTTTGAATGCTGCTCCCCTGGTAGGGGAGGGGTGGGGGGGGGGGTACTTGGAAAGAAAAGGGGTTGGTTCCCTAGAGCAGGCAAACAGACTAGATGGAGGAACAAACTAATTGAATTTGTGTTGTGGTGATAAAAAAGATGGTCCAAGCTTATTTAAAACTACCTCTCTATGTGGACCTTTATGAAAAAAGTAAGAGTCAGCACAAAACAAATTAAAGTTTTAATCTTTGAGTCCAGTAACTGTTTAGAAAGATGGACCAATACCAGTGATGATGTGATTTAAACAAAAACATTTCAACGGCAGGATTGATGTGCTATGTCCTGCCTCCTGCCGGCTCCACTCAGGTGCCACTCTTCACCTGAACGCTCCGGACATCATTCTGTTTTTGTGAACACATCTGACCTTGGTCGTCTCTGGAGAACTGCTACTTTAAAGTAAAAAGAAGAGTTCATGTCTGGAAACAGCTCTGGTTTAATCCAGACATCATCTGCGAACTGGGAGGTAGTGGGGTTTAAAGCCTCGACTGCAGCTAGCCAGCATTTTGGCTTCACTTTTGGAAGCTATCATATCATCCATCTTTGCAAACCGACGTTGTATCGGTCCGAATGGGACAAACCCTCTCAACAACAGGGTAGATTCATACAGATCAACTTTTTTTCACGAATTGGCAAAGAGTCAAGGGAATTTTCCAAGTGCTATTATCAGCCGCTGTTTTGGCAGAACAATTCAGAATAAAAAAGTCTAGACATTACAGACAATATCTGGCATACAGGAATAATGGGATGAACATATTTTTAGCTGCCAGGCTCCTGTCTTCACAGCATTAGTCAAATGAAAAAGATGACGGAGTACAAAGGGACATTTGAAGAATGCAGATGCACTAAGACTACTCCGTCCACTAATATTTGATCTCAGCGATGTCTAATTCGTTTCAAATTGTTCACTGTTCAAAACAAAATATTTCTAGTAAGATAAAATATAAATTTGCTTCATTGCAGAAATGTGTCCAGTGCTCTTTGCCCTGCAACTCAAATCAATCGGAACTTTTAAAGGAGTTAAGATAGACAATCACCCAAAATGCCAGGACTGACTAAGAGCATGAAATACTAGTTTTTAATGTTTGATGCACGATTAATGTTACTGGCAAAATTAATGTTAATTCCCTCCATAGCTTTGTGTAGTTACCAGAAACACAAATATCCTTTTCACAGGGTCTTTAAAAAACCCATGTGATGTCATCTGGCTTATCTCAAATAAGAGACAGATTGCACATTTTGTTCTGCCAACATTACCAACTAGTTGCTTTCAGTGGTAACAGAGAAATAAACCAAATTCCAAGTGACATCAATTACAAGAGATTACTATTTACCCCAAGAGATGAGGCTCAGACTGTGAGTCCTTCAGGGGAGACCTAGTCGTTAAGTGAAACCCAAATGCCCTTGAAAGGTAATTTTAGTTGACAGGCCTGAGCCCAGTGTGGCAAGAAAGAACAAACTGAAATGATAATGAGAGCAGGACAGGGACCTAAAGCACGCACGCACACACAAGAGCTGTGTACTGGATGAACTGTGTATTCGCAATAGAAAACCTCCGCGAGTAACATCAAAACTTCTGTAAAGTTCCACACACAGAAAGTCAACAGATCCCCACTGGCATCTTTAAGAGGCAGTCAGCGCACGGCAGCTGTGATTTCCACTTGTCAGGCTCACTCTTGTGAAACAACACACACACACACTCACAGGCACACAAACTGTGTGCAGAAAGAAGAAAATTGCAAAGTCGTCTACAAGGGTAACTTGTAAAGCATCCAAAAAGCTCATTTGGCTACAATGTAAATGCCTCTCCTTGGGTTTGAACTCATTTTCATTTCACTGTGAACCATCCAATAAAGCTGAAATGCCATCATGGTCTTCAGTAAACACATCAACAACGACAAAAGGCAGGTGCCCACCACCGCATCACGAAGTGCTACCCTTGATTTTTAGATCGGAAGCCAGTTGGGGATAGTGTCCTTGTTATTGCACTAGTGACTCCTGCTGGTCAGTCCAGACGACTGCTATGTCGATGGAGGGGTGATAATGAGTGAATTTTCATTTTCCGGTGAACTAGCCTCATCTATGCTCAAATGCTAGACAGGTTTACAGGAACAGCCTGAGCCTTTTGTCTGCACTCTGCCGTAATTGTGTTCATCTCCTGAGAGCCTACGTTTACAGTTGAAACTGATGAAACTTCAGCAATTGACGGGAGACTTTGTGAGTTGGTCAGAAACTACAGATCTATCTGTATGATGTCACTGAACCCAGACACAGGGACAAACTCTTCAGAGGTGCATCATCTCTCGATTCAGCGCTGCGTAGACGCGTGGCCAATTAAAACTCTCTTTTAGTAGGTAAAGGTAACATAAACAAGCCTTTAAATATATAGCATGAACTTGGTGGGTGCTACCCTAACCCTAAGAATCAGAAGAGGTGTGGACTAATCATTATCAAAGCTTGGAAATGACCTCAGCTGAAGCAGCCAGATCATGGAGTTAAATGTTCCCTGTAGATTTCTTCTCAACAGAATGTTTTCTTGTCACACTTTGGGTCAAATTAACACAAATTGCAGCATAAGCAGTTTGTGTACCCTCAGTGGTTTTTGGCAGACAGCTTGTAAACCTCTTTTTGGAGCCAGCTGTCCTGCACACACGTCACATTTAAGATCGACCCACAGATTTTCAGTAATGTTTCATCAAATCTAGCTTTATTCACGCCCTGATAGAGCAGACAAGGCATTAATATCTTAACACACCTTGGGTGATGTTGGCCAAAGACCTCCATCTGAACTTCATCTGCCCACACCACTTTTTTTTTCTAAAGCAACACTGGCTCATTCAGATGTCGCTTGGCTTTCAGATGATTCAAAGATTCAAGATTCAAAGATTTTTATTGTCAAATTCAGATTCTTCCACTGAGAACCTTTTAGTGTATCAATGTGTCAGACACGCCCTCCTGCAGGTCCTCTGTAGTCACATGGGCCCATGTGCAGACCTGCAGGTTCAGCTGAAAGTTTTTTTGCACATCTTATTTTGACCTCTACAGTTTCCCTCGACATTACAGACTGTGGAAAATTTCAAGCTGGAGGAAATTTCATGTCTGTTTTTTTTTTTTTAACAACCACCCCCTACTATGTAGGGATCAATTAGCTTTATCAGTCAGTTGCCTGGAGGTGTCCAGGGTTGCAGCGTGTTTCCGCAGGGTTTGAATTATCAGCTGTGGAATTTTTATTAGCTGACAAATTTTAATGACTGTTCCTGACCTGCCCCACACATCCTAATGTGTCACTTAAGGCTGTGTGACTTAATTGAGATCTTAATGAGTAGAAGGGGCAAACTCTTGCATATGCAACAACGAGATTTTTTTCTCCTATTTGTTTATTTCAGGAAATAAAAGTTCATTAACAGTTGAAAAATGTGCATTTTTCAGTGCATGTCTGCTGCTGGAGTATTATTTACTTCGTATACTTAGTATAAAATTTGCCCAGGGGTGCACAAGCGTTTGCACAAAACTGCACAGATGCAGTAAAGAAGACACAGGCACTGTGGTAGACTGCCTCTAGAGAGAAGCAGCAGACTGGCAGCTCTCCGTCCATTCATTCAGGCCTGCTGTGGCAGACTGACAGCCGATCGCTGGGGAGCTGAGATCTGAGGCTCAGATTTGATGCGATGCTAAAGCAGGTAGGAGAACCTGGGGGCAGGTGGAGGTGACAAGGAAATGAGGTTGAAGCAGAAGCTCATCTCAGAGGAAATCATTTTACTACTGCCAGCTTTGTGCTCTCTTAAGATTTCACTGGTATTTTCCTAAGGACATTCACAGATATTAAGTATTCCCTAACAGTTAATTAAAAAATGTAAGTCCAAATGCCACAACAGCTGCAACTCTGCCTTACCTCCTAACGTTACAGAGATATCATGAGACTATGACAATGAGCACTGTTAATTACCTTATCTACGTAGTGGGGAGAGCCGGGGGAAAGCCAATAAGGGCAATTATAATTTTTTTATAGTTTATTAGGCAGCCTCACAAATTACACATGAAATGACAAACACAGTTTTGAATAGCTATTACTCCAGTAAACACATTTTATTAAGCCAATTGTTTTTGTGGATTGAGGTTGTGTTTGGTATTGTGTGTCTGTGTATCTGATGTTTCCCCTAATATTCATGAAATGTACCATCACATAACACACAGTTTGAAATTGGTTCCAATGTCTGAATAGTATTCTAACATGTAACAATGAGGTTACAATGATGTATAAGTCGGAAACTGAAATTCCCTTCAGATGTGTTGATGGGATCAGTGCTTCAGTCTTACCTTCCTCTTCTTGAAGGCCTGTCGGGCGAGGTATCCCCTGCAGGCAGCCTGGAACAGAGAGATGTTCCTCCTGGTCTTAACGTCCCGCTGCTCCTCCAGCTTGGATAGAATCCCTGCTCTGAAGAAGATCTGCAGGACGAGAAGACAAGCTCAGACAACATGAACCTGAAAACATATTTCAGTAAGGAAACAACTTCTGTTGAGCTAAACAAAGACTTAACTGGACCCTCACATCCTGAGTAGTTTCATTTTTAACCTGCCTGAAATCGTTTGAAAGAGCGACATCTCCAAAGCTCCATGCAGGTTATCAGGTTATACAGCCCGCTGTGTTTGGTGTTTTCACTTTATTTATCATTCTTAACCTGGAATTGTTTGCATCTGGATCAGCCTCACATCCTGCTCCGCATGCTCTCACGATGACTCCCACACATTTCATGTCAATTTCCCCCATTTCTAAATTGTTCTCAGCGTGGCTCAGACTGGCACAGAGTTTCCATACAGGTGGGCACAAGTTGTTTTTTTATAAATCACAACTTTCGTGTGGGTTGGTGTCGAGCACCTCTTTCAGGCGCTGTTTTTTGTGAGGCCCCTTTTCATTTTAGTCCTGTCTGAAAGGTTTTGCTGTCTTTCATCTCTTTTGCTGACGATTTGGGCAGCTGAGCTACTTCCTGAATACCAATGAGGGACAATTTCATGCGGGGATGTGCTGACAACCTTGTAAAAACCTACGTCATTATACCTCCAACCACTTCTACATAATTTGTGTCTGGAGACAGGCACCTCAGCTCTGCTCCTCAGCCCCTGATTAGCTGGCAGCTCTTTGGAAGTAGATTCATTAAGCAGAGTTTGTGTGATGCTTTGTCCTTCAGAGGATGTGACTGTTCATTATTCTGACTCTTAATTTTCACAACCGGCAGAGCAAAGGAGGAAGTCCGACTTGGAACATGGCCTGGAATTAAGATTGCTGTTTAAATGTCATGTGGACCTTGTGACTTCACCTCTTTTAAACAACGACCTACTCTGTAAGTGTTTTGAGAACCAGACTTTCACTTACACCTCCCAAATACTAGGTATTTCATAGCTCATACCGTCATAGCCCTGGTAGCTAACATTACTGAGGTGTGTGGTGAATCAGTTAAGTGTTAAAACCCCTGGATTAGGAGGAACACAACATCAGGAGGTGATGTGAGCCTGGCTCCGTTTCCAGGGAGGAAGCTGATGCCTCCATGTTGCAAAATAAAGCAATTACTTTATATGTTTTGTTGAATTAGTAATAACTCTAGACCTTGGAAAGTTTGAATGAAAAGCAATCTTGAACCTAATCCACTCCATGTTTTACTGCATTTATGTCCAGGACAACAGGAAATCACCAGGTAACGATTCCTGATTTTGGATTTGAAAATGTATTTTGTTTTATTCTTGTATATAATTTCAAATGACACCCTGGTCTGGTAATGATGCGTAAGATATTCTGTTGAGTAAAATGTGTAATGACTAAGATACAAACAGTACATTAATATCTTTTATTTTGCCTCCCTCAACCAGTGTGATTCCACCAGCAGAAATAAATTCTCATCCCATGGGAAATGCTGCCGTGGGCAGATGATGTCAAGCCGGCCTGGGAGGAGAGGACACATCTGAGCTGAACTGCTGAGCTCCTTGGAGACTCATTTGTCATTGCAGGGACGGTTTAAATGATACCAGGCAGCGAGCCACATACAAGTTGGCAGCGAAGCACAGGGACATTTTGGCAAAGAGAGGTGGTGCACATTTCATATGTTATGGGTGACACTTTTATGTTAGCTGATAATCACGGCGACAATAAAACAAAGGTATAACAACAACTGAAAGGGTTGGTTGTTCCAATGTCATGTGTCCCGCTGGATGTTTTATCCGAAAACTGTAACTGCGGCTTCAACATGCAGCTTCTGAGCTCATTGCTACACCGACAGTAGAATCCTCTCTGATGACAGATGAGGGCATTCCTTGAAGTCCAAGCTAGGCACTAAGCTTGTTGTTTTGCACTATGAAATAACAGGATTGTCTCTGTCAAAGGTTGCACCACTGGAAAGTACATGGGATGGGTTTGAGGCTGCAACAGATTTGTTCGGAGCTAAGGTTTCACTGTGTCTGAAAATTCACAGTTCTAGTTCACAGAACGTCATTTGACCACGTGCAAAGGCAAAATTGTCTAAAACTAACATTACTTAAAGTTTACCATGTAACTGGTTGGATGTAGCGTTAATTGTATGGTGTGAATTTCACCACACTAAATCCCATCGGGTATAAACTCTATGTAATTCTCCACTTTCGGCTAATTTATTCAAATGATTCTCACACTGCATGATGTACGTAGTTATAATCATGGTTTACAAAGAGAATAAGCAGCACAGCGTGTGGGTTGGTTGGACCTCTGTGTAACTTGTTGGCCTGATAACACAACATAAAACAAGACACTTCAAACATCGCTAACTTAATCTTAACTCGGGAAAATTAGCAGACCAAGAATAGTGTGACACACCAGCACACAGACAAGGTTAAACTCCCTACGTGCCTATGTGCCAGGAAACTTCTCATAATGACAGCTGAAGGCTCCCAGTGTTCTTTATTCCACAGACTTTTTACAGATCTAATTAACACAGCCATCAGCCTCAGTCTTTTTCCTTGTGATTAGCTGAGTTTTTTCTTTTTTTATCTCAAAGAGTTGGAGTTGGGCGGCGTCTGTCTGCTGCTCGGCAGAGGTCGCAGACACAGAGAGCCACAAAGATCGGCCCCTGCCCACGCAATGAGAAAGATTAGAAAACTAAATCGCACCAGGACCAGTGAAGGTGAGAACGGAAGTGTGAAGAGTTGTAACTGCGTAGGAACAAAACAACAATTATTTCTTGATATCCATCACGCCTTCTGCTTGAGAGGTAGGTGAAAGGAATGGAAAACGCTTTTTTAAATTATCTGTGGAAATGAGAGTGTCGCTGAGTGAAAAGACAACAGGACTTGAAGGCAACACAAAAGGATGTCAGTTTCCTGCAATGAACTGTCTCAGAGTCATAACAACTGAACAAAAGGTTGATTTCTGTTTTGAAACACTGAGAAAGTTTAATGGTCTACATTTGAAAATCTGTGCATCACTGCAGCTTCCTTTTGTTATAATCCAGTGTCAGTTTGTAATCCAGTATTTCAAATTAAAAGCCTACCCCACCACGGACGTGAGACGCTGTTTTCTTTAAGCCACTGGAAGGCTTTCAGTTAGATGTTGCATTAATTTAAATTTTTGCTGTCAAATTAACGGAATCATTTCACATTGAATGGCTGCGAGGGAAGACAGAATCTTCACATGGAAAATAAAGATAAACAAAGCAGGCACAACTGGAATAAATCATAATTAATCACTTTCTCTAATCTCTGCCTGTTTCAACAAACGGCTCCTGTCTGTAGTTGAGGTTAGAGAAGCTACGATATTGTGGTAACAACCTGTGTGTGTGTGTGTGTGTGTGTGTGTGTGTGTGTGTGTATAACAGTGTGATGCATGTGTTGTGTATGTGACTCTACTCACCCTGCTCAGCCCCATGTGGTAGCTGCTCTTCTCAAGCTCCAAGGACTCAAGCAACTCCTGCACTGCCTGGAAACCAGCAAAACAAACATTCAGTCCACAGATAAACAAAAACAAGCCCGGTTTGTTCTGGGCCCTCGGACTTCTGCATGATCACATGGCCTGGTTGCCCAAAGGACGATAGCTTGGTGCCATAGCAACAAACACTATTCTCCCTGAGCACCAGCTTACACACACACACACACACAGACACACACAGACACACACGCCTCCCCTCGAACTGCCTCGAGGAAGCTGAAAGCACAAAACAAGTCGTACAGAGAAGCTTCTCAGGTCCCTTCTCTCTCAGGATTCGTCCGGTGTGTCAACCCAGCCTTTAGAAGACAAACCGCACACTGCAGCTGAACTCTGAGGTTTCCGAGGCTGACACTGGCATTAGTGACTGAGAATTCCGATATCTGGTAGTCGGTGATAATATTTATAGTATTTGCCTAAAAGAAGAAAAAGATGAATGCTCAAACCCCTGAAGTTACTATATTCCACAAGAGGGAAGTGTTGAATTTCGATTTTTGCAGCAGTAGCAAGTCTGAAAATGTGAAGTTTGTCCTACGGCGAAGATATTTAAATTTTAAGATTTGGTGACACCAAGCAAATGTGTTTATCTAATTCAAGTCCATTCATATTAATATGAGCACAGGCCACTGGAGGAACTAAGAGTCTAAGCTGTTGTTGTCTTCTGTATCACAAAAAATCTGTTGTGCGTGGACACACAATTTCAATCCCGCAAGCGAAAGACACTCAACAAGGGATCAGTCATCGAAAGGAGGTTTCATATGATCCATGATGAATCTTCAAGGTCGGTAAAATAAATGTCCAAAGGGTTTTCCTTCTTTGAAACATGTTAAAAGGTTCAGGAAGTAGGATTTTATGAAGACGATGGTTCAGCGAATCAAAGACTAGATTATATTCCATCTGCTTAAGAAGTCAGTAACTTAATAGAAAGTAGTAGTTTTAAAGTGGTTTTTAAAACTTAAAAATATCTTAAGGTCCGAATATCTTGGTCACTGTTTTTAATTGTCTCCTGTGAGGGGCTTGTGACAAATCTCCAACAAGCTGGGGTTCATATTGAGATATCTCTATAATCCGGCCGCTGATATCACGGCTACATCACGCTGCATTGAGAGGAACTGACGACTCGGTTGTTAGCAACAGAAAGACAGAGAAAAATAATATGTCTCTCTTAAAGAAGACACTTTGACAAGTCAACAGTGGGTAAATCATAGGTAAACATAATGAAATGAATAACTGGAATTCTTCAAACGAACAGAATGTTAATGTTTATCTGAACATGACAAGTCGAAGTATGTGCTGTGAATATTGTTTTTCCCGCTCTCTCTTTCTCTGAACATCAATTCTTTCAAATTGTTCCTCCAATTATACACTCCTCTCTGTCTCAGACCCCCCCCCGTCTTTTCATTCTTTGCTCTCTTCACTGTTTATTCCTGACTCCCTAAAGAATCACTACTTCTTTCAGAGCGAGCTGTTCTCTCTGAGCTCGTCTCAAGGGAACCTTGCGGGCCACCTATTGCCCGTGAGCTTGATTTCACTGATCTGCCTTATTAATCCACTTTTATCACCTCTGATCAGTACGTAATTGACAAGTTAGTTCTTTAATATTCCACATTTAACTGACATAGGCAAGCGTTAAGATTCAGCCGATCAGATTTATCTTTACAGGTGAAAAAAAACCATTCTATATATTTTTGACAAGAATGTGCCTTAATGTGGAGATCCCCCCCCTCCTCCTCCACCACCACCACCACCTCCCACTCATAACAGCTAATCACGCCCTCTGTGCAAAGCTGCTATATACTGCCTGAGCAGAATGTGGAGAAGACATTAATCACATGCTCGGGGATGCTCCTAAACTGTTCTGATGCACGTACAAAAGGAATGGGAAGATAATGAGACAAGGAAAAAAACTTGGAAAGAGACGAGGGAGTGGGAAGGGAGGGAGAGAAAGAGAGAGAGGAGGAAAGAAAGAGCTCTTCCCAGTGCTGGTAATTAATCAGTACAGTAGCCGTATGCTGCCAGCCTGCACAATCATAATTAATTACACACAAGAGCGCACTTGGAGCAGGATGAGGACGGTGGAGACAGGAGAGCAGGGGGAGAGGTGAAATGAAGTGATTCTGTTCACACCGAGGGATTCCAACGTGGAGGACTAAAAGTGATATACTGAATATCCAGATGTTATAGCTTCAATATTTAACTAATTATCACCCCCACCAAGATTATTTTGTAAGCCGGAGTGCACAGAAACAACTGGGGTCAGGATTGTTTTTGCTGCTTTCTTTAAGATTGTGACATTGGGCTTCTTTCCACATTCTCTCCGGGAATAATTCACGGATCTAGATGAAAGAAAATCAGGCCCATTGAGGGAATTGATGACTATGAGTGCAGCTCGATTCAATTTAAGGAGAGTGGAAGAGGTTTGTGTTTGTAGAAAGTTGGGGTGATCAACACTGGCACAGCAGAGGGAACCATATTCATATTCAGACCCTGCCTGCATGCCTAACAGCCATAACTATCAATCTTCTCACTGCCTGTCTGTCACAGGGTTTCCTTTAAAAATGTCTCTATACCCAAATAGAGATTAAATGACACTGGCGATGTCATCGGGGTCTTTCCCTGACAGAGCCCCTCGACAGCCGTAGAAAACATCATTTTTATTTGTTAGGTAAAGCTGAGCCTCTTTCGGTTTGATTGGAAATAATTTGCATAGTATTACAAGCATACAGTTCTGCTGTCCATGTGATCTTTACGATGTTTGGGAAGATTTAATTCAACGGACAATTATCAATTTAGTTCCATTTCCAACAACCTCAACAATAAAACTGTCATAACTGATGCTCATTATATTTCACACACTTAATGGATTCTTAAAAAGAAAGTAAATCGTCTCCGCAGCATGTTAAAGGAGTAGGTGTTGCGATCACACAATATTTAATGATTATTCAAAACTAACATCAACATATAACAGATAACCATAGAGAAATATTCAGTTTCCCACATTTCTTGTTTTCAAACAGCTTTGTTTCAGTAAAGGTTTCTGTGTGAGGGTTAGAATGAGGATTTGAGGATATCTCATCCATCTCTAAACCTTTAGTCCACAGTTTGTAACAAACAGTAAAGAACCTGTACTCGTACCTGCTCATTTAAAAATAAACCTTGAACTTCTCCCAGGCTCTGACCAGTGTGACCGTGCGTTCTCGCAAGAGAGCAACAAAACAAAGAAGTCACATAACTCAAAGCAGCTCTGTCGACGTCCTACAAAACCACACAATGTCGCGGGAAATGGATTTTCCTCCGGAGAAACTCGTCTGCTGCGTGGCTGCGCTTCACAAGCTTGTTAGCAAAGGAAAGGTGGCCACAGATGAACTTTTCACTGCAACACATTCTGCGAGAAGTTTTACTGTACCACTCATCTGAAAGTTTTCATTACATGTACTAGCTGGGGGGAAGATTATGAGCAATACTTTCTTTGCCTTTGAAGCTAAGTTCAATATACACAGTGTTGATAATTCACATCTGCTGGGCAAACACATGGTGCAGTGCAGTCAGGAGAGGCAGACTAACTGTTAAAGAATCTGAGATGCTGTGGGTTATGATGTGCACCATGTACATTTTTTATTTGGCTTTAAACCCGCCTGAATGAAACTTCAATCACAAGAAAAAACTTTTATTTCTAAAAATATCATACATTATAGACTGTGAACCTCGGTCTTTGGACAAGCTAATATCGGCGCAACACACTGTGGGAGGATTCTCATCAGACCTGTACCTGTGATAAAAATCACAGTGATGTTTGTGTGTATGCTGACAGCGGTAAGAAAATAAAAGCGTGTGAACCCAAAGGACTGAACTGGTTTTCTGGTTTGTATAAATTGGTCATAAAATGGGATTTGATCGTGAAGTCACAATCACAGGTGAACAATGAGCTTCAGCTAATAACCAACAAAGAATTATTATTGTGTGTCTCGTTCTTTAACACACCCAATAAACCTTTAAACTTCTTGTTTAACTGAGCTCATTCCACGTTACCTCTTCTGGGTTAATGTCAGAGCTCGTGACGCAACTTGGATTTTTTTTCCTTCATAATAGGCGGTAATTATTTGACATAGCAAAACTGTAACATTATTTTTATATTATTATTATTATTATCATTAGTCTTTCTCTTTATTTCAGAGTGTGGTCTATCAGTTTAAGAGCAGGACTTGTTGATTTCACGTTTAGACTATGTAATGCTTTCATTTAAAACCCTGTGCTCACACTCAAATATGCTCTGCATGCGCTTAGATTTGCTCTGCGTGAGCTAAAACTGAGAGCTTGCACTTGGATCTTTGGTTGATTGGACAGATTTCCTGCGCTCCAGCCTCAACTCTCCTCCTCGAGTTTATGCTGCTTCTGTGCGCATGTGAAAACGTCAGCTCTCGGGTTTCTCCACCAATTTCACAATAAATTCAAGCGCTACTTGAACACTGGGGAATCAAAAACTTCACCCGGACTCCATGTTCCGTGCCTTGACTACAACACTGGGCTACATCATGATTGTGATGTAGTACCCATGACTGTACTTCTCAACTGGAACGATGCTATGCTGTCATGTTTGCATGCAGTGCCATCTGTGCTGTTTCCTTCCTGAACAATTCAACCTGAGTTTCCACAAAACACGTTTCCCATGAGCTCTGTTCAGTGTCATCGTGATCTTTGACAAACCTCCGGCCGACCGTGATGCTACTTTGGTCGAGCAGCGATACGGGCCCCTTGCTGTTCAATGACCAGTGGCGTTAAACGACTCCAGTGATTGTTCCAGCTGTAACTCTGTGCTTCCTTTTGTACTTCATTGTACATTCAATCACATTAGTCACCTGGACACCGAGTTGTGGAGAGAGTAGCCGAAGCAGTGATTTATCTCCATTTATAGACAATCAATCCAACTGTGAATGATGATTATCTCAACTCTTTCATATTACTCTGCAACCCCTTTCTAGCTTTATGCAAATCAACAATTCAGCAAGTCTTCTGAGATCTCATTTTTGTGAGAAGCATGATTCTCTTCAGCAGATGCTTCTGGTGAATATAAACTCTCAACATTTGACTTCTTTTAAAAGTCAAAGAAAAAATTCAACCTCAATCTTTCATTGGTTTGCTAACTCTTGACTCCTGTTAACTTCCGTGGATGTCATTACCTTGGAGGCTTCTCATAGTTTTACCAACAAAAGAAAACAATTATTAGTGTGTCACTAGTTAAAAAACATTGTGTTTGTCAGAGAGATAAAGATCTGAACAATGTTCGAGACAGTCATGCATAATTCACTTCATCCCAAAGGACTGACTTTCTTTTTCTTGCCACTGTATATGTAATTATTTTTACTCCCATGCATAAACGCATGATGGAAATATAGGATTAAACAAATCAGAACTGGGAGTCAGACTTCCCTCTTATTTGAAATTAGGTGGAATAACACATAAAGCATCAATCATGTTTAAATAAAAAGCAAGAATGACGTTATTTACTGGACGTAAACTACTGTGCAAACTTTGTAAGAAACTTTTTTAGTTGATACGTTTTGGATTCATCATGCACTGGCATCAGGGAGGTGCAGCAGGACAATGACACCACACAAAGTGCCCGTTATAAAGAACTATCATCAGGGACGGGAACAACAAACAACAACAGAGGGTCTGGCCCCCGCGGAGCTCTGATCTGATCATGGAGTCAGTCAAGGATTGAATGAAGAGAGAGGAGCAACTGAGGCAACAAAAACAAAATGCCTGCCCAAGTCCACCTCTGAGATTTGAAACCAAATACTGTTTTGCTGCACTTTGTATGAAGTCAAGATACATTAAGAAACTATTCATTGTATTATCATTCAAAGCAGCTTCATGTAATTGTTCCTCTAATTCTCCTTCTAGGACATAAACCCTGCCTTCTCCATGTTAGCAGATAGGGACAAAGACAAAACCGAAAAATCAAAGTACAAGTTATTTCTTAAAGATGTTTTTCTGTTATTTAAAGTCGTTCTTATCGCACTGTTGTAGTCAATACTGAGGACAATGTGGACAACGAAGGGCTTCAGGCCGAGGGCCACAGACAAGGTTGAGGGGCCGCATTTATTTTAAAGATCTGACTGCGGGGAACTCCTCGGAGCGCAGCTTCCATCACAACAGAAGTCACCGTCCAGACACACACAACAGCAGACGTAAGTAAACACTCACCCTCTTCTCATCTGTGACAATGTAGTTGCGGCCGTGCCTCTTGGTCAGATGTGGTGCCAGGACATCAAAGCGCCTGCGGAACTCAGAGAACACCATGTGGTCTGGGTATCCTAAGGACAGGCATGGAGCAGAACAGAGATTAGAGCCTCACAACAAGAGAATAAACACCAAGGTTAGAAGAGAGCCACCTGTCAAAGGGCAACTTTTATTTTCAGAAGAAATACTGCTCGATTTTAAAAGTTACCTCAACAGACTTAGGAGCAAAGAGGCAAAGTGAGGAAGGTTTGACAGGTTGAGATGTTGGAGGTCACAGGGGTTTAGTCAAGGCTTTTAGAGAAGTATGAACAGTAACAAAGGCTATGGAAAGAGATTTTTACTGAGGGACAAAGGGCTAAAGGACCTAAATCACCTTTGAATGAAGACAGAAAATAATTGGACAGCAACCGGTTAAAGGTTATTTGAACCCTGTCAAATTCTATATATCGCTGGAAGTTAATTTTATCACTGGATTCAAATCATTTGGGCATGAAAGGAAGAAAAGTGTAGGTTCATACTGATATCATCAGACAGACAAATGAATAATTGAAGAGGTTGAAAGCAGGTTTAACTTGGGGGAACTGGAACATTTAAAAAAGTAAATTTTGTATCTGACAGAATAGCTTTGGACATACATGGGCGAAGCCTGAATGGTTAAGTGGAGGAAATAATGATAGCTTGAATAGTCAAGGTCAGAGGAAGCAGAGAAGCAGATAATTTGTTCAACCATGAGGGTTGAAGCATTGGTTAATCTACGGCAACACTTGGTTAAAAGATAACACAACACTCATCAACCAGTTGCTTTTACCAGAATTTCATTTTTTTCCGGGCTCAATAAGAAATATCATTTCTATGTGATATGGCAAACAGGCAGCAGATATGATTTACAAATAAAGTAAACTAAATATTCCTCCTCACCTTGCCTATAGATGCGCAATGCATCCAGCAGCTTTGACCCTCGGAGCTGAGCTCTCAGGAGGCCGACATCCAGAGTCATGAGGCCCGAGTCAGGGCTCTCACCGTGTGTCACACGTGGCTCACCTCCTCCGCCCACTGCCTCTGCTTTGGGCAGCAGGCAGTGGACAAAGTGAACCCTGGAGCGACGAACCATATCAATCAGAGCGTCCTAAAAAAAAAAACACAGAAAGGACATGACTGTGACATCAGCTCCTGCTTGTTGTCAGTAAGTGAAACCACTGATTAGATCTCAAGTCATGTTTAAGATGGGGAGAGAAGTAAGCTGGGAATTACATGCTGCCAACAAGCTCTATGTGATGAAAATGTCAATCAGTGTTGTTTGTGCAGGTCCAAACCTTTGAGAGAGAAGTTGTATTTAGAAGACACAGAGAAGAAACACTAGTGTGTGTGTGTGTGTTGGGGGGGATTATGGGTGCACAGGGGCTTTAAAAATGCAACTAAGGCGTCCTTAGTGCAACATAAAATCTCTTTAAATGCTTTAACTTTACTAATATACTTCATTATGCTTTAAGTACGTGGATGCCTTTATGCAACAATAACATGAATATTTATTATATGCTTTGACATTGTTTTGGTAAAAAAGAAAAGGAGGCACTACTTTTTATACAAAATCTCAAAACCTCCTCACAGAGTATTTGTCAGGTGCAGAAACTGTGAACTTGGGTTTCAGAACAGCCACAATCAGATAAGTAGCCTGAGAACTGGATGATGAACAGAAAGGTAATAAAAGAACAGACGGATTCCAGAATCCATGCAAGAGCATGGAGGTAGCTTCAAGTATCTGATTTCGCAAATAACAATGATAATGAACAATAATAAAAATAACCAGTACTATGTACAATGTTTTTTTTTTTGGTTTTAAAATAGTTTTAATCACAGATTCATCTGCTTACCACTTGGAGTTTGACCTGGATGCACAGGCTCTTCTTCTTGACGGCAGCCACACCTGTGGTGAAGGTTTTCCTCATGCTGGTGGCCCGTCGCAGGGCGAGCTGAGAGCTGCCTTCAAGACCAGCTATGGAGCCCGACAACACGGTGGCCCCGCTGGCCCGGCCCATAAACAGCCCACTGATATTCTTCCTGTGGTGGCAGGAGGAAGAATTGTCTTTACACTCACAGCCAAAGTCATTTTCATTCCAATCGAAACCAAGTTGAAGTGACTTTTGCTTTGTGAGATTTTCACGCTGGAAGTAGCCGTGAGAAGACGGTTAATTGAAAATGCATTATCAGAATTAGTCCTTCATGTGTGCAGCTTTTATGATTTACTACACACGTAATTTCATTTAAACATTGCATATCAGAGATCTGTTGATCAATCAACACAATCTTCAGACCTAAGTTCGCAACTTTTCAAAATAAAAGATAAATTCAGCTCATTACAAAGCATCGCAGAAAAACTATGTAGCTGCAATTTTGACCCGAGGTTTGAACCAGTTGCTGACCACTGCCGGAGATGATCCCCGAGGACATAGAAGAAGACATGCTCAACTCTCTCCACAGACTGAAGGCACGCTGCCCCGCCCCCACTGACTCCTACACAGCACTATATTTATTCAGTTTTCTAATATCTAATATCTAATATTGAACGTATCACGTGTCCCAATAGCAGCAAACTCGTCACTGCAAAGTGTAAAGTTTGCGTGTATGGACAGAAAGACAGACAGACGTTTGTGGAAGTAGTAACTAGATAAGGTTGTGGCATTCGAACTATTATTGAATGGAACTGAGAGACTCTACCATCTGCAGCCTCAGCAAAAATACAGATTCATCAGACCAGGCTGCTTTTTTCAGTCTTTAACTCAGTTCTGCTCTCAGCCAACAGGAGTTGAACCTGATGTGGTATCTGCTGTTTTAAACCATCCACCTCAAGGTTGGACGTGTCGTTCATTCTGAGCTATGCTTTGGAACCACTCCTGATTTATCACTAAACTTTTCAGTCCACTGGAAATTTCATTACTCTAGCTTGTCAGTTTGTGTGATTTCCACCCTCATATTTTGTAATGAAGGTTGATAGGTTGACAGGGATTCAATGTTGGAGGCTTGTCCCGGGAAAGTCATCTGGTGCAGACAAGAAGTTTTGTTTTTCTCTGTAAGTTAAGAATCAAATAACTGGTAGAGTTACACAAGAAGAGACACCACAGTACTGGAAGCAGTGTTTGACACAGCACCACGGACTCTGTGTGTAAGACTGTGTTGCACGTACTTCTGGGAGTCCTGCAGCAGTGTGGCAGCGTTTTGGGCAGCAGGGTTGTGCTTGGCATGGCTCAACCAACCCTGAGCATTGTACTCCACCCAGTTCGTCCCGTGGCTGTGACCGAGCAGAAAGAGGTGGGGCTTCTCTCCGCGCAACAGCAGACCAGCTCCTGCAGCACAAAGAGAAGATTTTCATAGTTCCCTCCGGTGACATCAGGAGCACGGACACTGCTGTTTGTTATTCCTGCAACTCTCCACTGAACCGCTGATGACGGGTTGAGCGCTCACCTTTGTTTTCTCCCTGTGCAGAGCCGTAGTAGCTGAACAGTCTCTCCAGCATCGTCTCCTCTGAACCTCCGGGCTGAACGGCCTCCTCCTCCATCAGCCACAGAAGGCCCCGAGCCTCGTCCGTCCTGGCCAGAGTGCGAACCTGTGACGGATATGAACGGTCACAAATGTCACCAACTTTTTCTTCGATAATCACTTTGACCTTGATGGAGACAATCTTGAGGTCAAGGAAAAATGTGTATAGAAAACATTATTCACTACTTAAGATCATGATTGGACACTATGCAGGTACAAAACAGCCAAATAAAAATGTTTAAGAAAATAATTACAGCAAAAAAAGCGACATTGGGCAAATAAGAGTCTGACCAGCTATAGCTTGACATCTTTCCAGACTCATGTTCCCTGAAGCTTTAGAGCTGATACTGGGTTTTATTTGTTAGATATGCAATTCACTCAAAACTGTTATACCTAATTTTGGCAGAGGAAACATTTTAATATTTAATCTTACACGATAAAGTCCCCAGAGGTTTTCTGCAACCTCGACCTTCAAAGTCAAAGCTGCAGCAAATTCAAAACTACTGACGAATATTGACTAAACTGATTAGTTATTCCCCAAAGTCAAATCTTTCTGATGTGATTAAGAGAAACTACAAAAGCTTTTTCTATATCGAAGGTGATTGTGGAGGTTTCTGGTGATAATAAACACTGTGTTTTATTAAATAACTTCTGGACGTGTGTCTACCTTTGATTAAATACATGAATTATAGATGTGATGACTTTTTCTATCTTGGAGACAAGGGCGTCCCTGATGAATTTTATATCCATGTTGATGATGAGAGACACAAGACAAGGACTTGATGGTAAGATTGGATCTTTGTTAGGCTTCAGACGGACGTATAGAACCCAGCAGGGGAACTATCACGTCGTGGTGATTTGTTTTAGGCATTAGGTTGAGAGCATCTGGAAGTTCTTCCTGTGTTAGGGGTGAGTCTATATTGGCTTGTTATTCGCTGAGCTGTGGAAAATCAATACTGCTGAGAAATGAGTTGATGTCTTCCTCACTTGGGTAATTTCCTGATAAATACAAGCTGGCGTAGAAACATTGGAAAACGTGTATTCATCTCTTCAGGTGAGTGTGTGAGCGTCCCCGATGAGTTCTTATGATTGAGATTGTTGCTTTTTTATTTGTTTTGTATTTACCAGATTTATTGTTGTAGTGGAATTTTCTTATTGGATATGGAATTGATTTCATTATTTCTGATTTCATGTAGTTGAAATGTATATTTTCCTATTCTTTGTTTGTGTTAACAGACGGTGAAATGGTCTTTCTTCTTTTCACAGTTTTCCTGTCTCTCATAAAAGAGCTGGTGATGACTGTGGGGAGTCATTTATTTCCAGGAAGGGTGCCCGCTGGCTTTTATTGGAATTGCCAAAGCCTGGGCTCTTGAGAAGAGATGTGTTATAGCGCCATCTGGTGATACTGTGGGTTTGTACATGCTAAATATACTCCATGTGTTACAGGGTCACGGTTGCCACACTGCGACGGGTGGACCTCTGAATTTCTGTGAGGAAGGAATCCACGCATGGATGCGAAAGAGTGAACATTTAGATATTCATTTTTTTGTCTTGTGAAAACATGTTTACCTTATTCACTTTATTTAACACCAGGCTGATTTGATTAAATTTGCAAAAACTGGCATATATAACAAACCACAGCCGAGGATTCTAACTTTCTAGCTTCAATAACTTTCCTCGTTATGCCTCTAACATTGTTTTTCACACAACACGTCACCGCATCAGAGCTGAGTGAGTCGGCACACTCACACAGGCTCTCGGTAATTGGCCAGAGCTGAAATATTTGCAGTAAGCAGCCATCAACAGCGGCCGCATTGATATTTCAACACTTCTTTCTTTACTGATCGATGAAATTGTAATTTCATGAGCAACTATTCTACTGGAAGAGAGCAAAATAAAGATTCTGCAGAAAGGTATAACTGTCTCATGAATTATCCTGGAAGAATTCCTGCCATGGTTTTTTTCTTTCCACTTTCAATAAGTGCTTCCAAATCAGCCCCTGGCGTTAATAACACACAAGTTCCCCACTTCCTGTTTTGTTGTGTTCCGAGTAACCGAGAGTAAAGTTTTGCAACTGAAATTGAAATGGCTGACCTGGTTCTGGTATATTATTTAAAGCAGGTCTTCATGTTTAATTCAAACCAGGACTCTGGTCTCTATTTCTACCTCAGCCAAGGAGGCTGCATATTCACCGTTGTCGTTTTGTTAGTTAGCACAGCTAGGAGAAAAACTACTGGAGAGATTACAACAAAACCTGGTGGAGGGAGGCAGTGTGGGTCAGGGAAGAACCCATTCAGATAGATATGGTGTGTTTTGACATTTCAGTGGGAACAATTCATGGATCTTGATGAAAAATAAATCATTACGATCCATATGAAGAGAACTAATATCTATAATGACATGTAGTGCAGCTTGGTGGTAAAGTTGGGAGTGTATGAGCTCTGCTGAGCGCTGTTCTATTTGAAAATATAGTCAGGCAGGTTTTTGACTTCAACGGGTCCAAACTTCAGGATCCATGATGACTATTAATACGTCAACAGGCAGATAAACACATCTTTTCATATAAGACTGTATCCAGGTCTTTGATTATTTGGTAGCTTTAGATGAGTTTTAGTCCTGGAGTTAATTGAAATGCACAGCTCACTAACTTCTTGCAACCTCATTTTGTGGGTGAAAGCTGTTTTTAACTGCTGCATCAACGTGATCCAAGTATCCGAAGCCAAACTCTTCTGTCTAAAGCAGAAGATGCATCCTGCTCATTTACTCTTCATAAAAAACTTCAATACAGACCGAGTGGATTAAACATTGCTTGAAATATGACAAAAACTTAATTTGATCTCTGAAAAATGTGGAGGTCTTTAGGAGAGAGTAAATGTAATAATCTTGCTATAAAACCAGCAAACTGATAAATGATCTTTGGATGGTTGGATGGTTGGGCGAGCCCTGACACGGCCTCATAAACTGCAGATTAATGCCACAACTGCTGCTCTTCTTGTCAACACAAATGTCTGAATCTTGCTCCGTGGCTACTTCTGCTGTGATTTGTACAGTCTGATCAAGTTTAAATCGTTTGCTTGGCAGAGATCAGACCGTCTAAATAAAGAGGAGGGACCTCTGTAACAGGCACCGTTTTCGATTAAATCGAAAGTTAGATAACTCTCAGTGTCTTTCAGTCGAGACGAGGTGTGCTGCTGAAACTTATTCTCAACAAGCTTGTTAATACGTTTGATCAGAAATGACAAGCTGGGGATTCAGCTTTGTTGCATTAATTAATATTAATAATTGTGTGATTATTTACAAAAAATGGGAATTTGAAATAAAGCATATGTTGATTTGTTGCATATTTTCTGCAAAGGCCTGGTGCCACACACGTGTACTTCTAATAACTGGCATCCCTGAGCAGAGAACGGAGAGACCTGCCCACAACTCAAACTCAATTCCATTTAATACTGATGGAAAAGGAGGAAATCCAAAAAGAAATGGAGCAAATAAATTAAAAGGGCCACAATCACGAAGAGACAAACCAAAGAGGATGGAGGCAACGGGCCTGGAACAGCATGTTAATCATCGATGTCTGCGTTTGTCTCTAAGGGTAAAGATTTCATTTGAAAAAAAAATGATGTTATGGGTTGTAAACATCAAATATGTGGCTGATGAATAAGAATTACACTTCATCTGGGACAAGCAAGAGAAACAATTACAAATGAGCTCATCGCTATAGAGAAGAGAAGGCTTGTTAAAACCGTATTTATTCTGTCTACTTCAAAGATCAAGTCAATCTGTGTTTTAGGCTCAACTGAAAAATTGGAAAAAGTTCAAATTTATGTTTTGATTTAGACTGAAAATATTTAAGTCATGAACCAACCAACCATTCCTTTCTCTAGGTCATAGAACTGAATCCTCGGAACTACCCGTGTCTTTTTGTTTCTTTTGCCGAACTGATCGATCATGCGTGGTACATGTGGTACAAGAAATATGGAAACGTGAATCTGAAGTCTGTTGACAGGGAAAGTTAAGTTACAGTATTTAAAAATAGACACTGCTCCTTGTTAACGAATGCATCTAAATTAAACAAAACTTACCTCTGCACAATGCATCAGCGTCATCCCGAAGTCAAATGAGCACAAAGCTGAAGTTTTCTTTCCCGGCTCTCGGATCAGATGGCTTTAGTGCTCAGTGATACCAGCTTTGCTAGATTAGCCCTGAGCTACAGTTATTTGCTCTTGCCAGGGGTGATGAATGGGGCTATTTGCTGGCTCTGTCATATTTTGCAGCCCACGTTTACACTGCGACCTGATTTGCATTAATGTCTTTCTGACTAAGAAAAAAAAAAAACTCAGGCTCAAACTAACGACCCTTGAATCTGAACGGGGAACAGCCTCAGCGCTTTACCAAACGCAAACTCAAAGTTAAGATGTGCTGTTGCGACGAACACACATTTTCTCATGACGCGCTCCAGGAGCACAACAGCATCATATGCACAGATGCATGGAACAGAGACAGTGTAGAGGAGGTTTCTTGTGCTTACCAGAGCTTGGGTTGAGGCTTGGTCAATAGCTGCTACAGACCTCGAGGTACTGCACTCTATGTCATCTAAAGCAAGCTCTATGTTTTCCTAGACGCAGGAGGGGATAAAGGCTCAGGTTAGTGATCTACAGCAAACTAATCAGCAGAAGATGATTCAATCAATAAATCACAAGTGGAGCTATTCAATGCAATTATGACATTAGCCATTACTAGATTGTAGATTGGGTTGTGCAAGTATTTGTAATTAGTGCAATGTTTCTATAATATTTCTCATTTGATTATGCATATGAGTATAATTGAGTTAGTTTGTCTTTGAGAGTAATATTAACCGATTACGGAAAGTGCAGTGGAAAGGATGAAGGTTTCTGAGACCAGCCTCTGAACGTGGAAGAGTTTCTGTCTGTTTTGTATACATGCTGCTTTCCTGCTTCAATAAACATAATCTGTGTATCACCTATTGTGATATTAATCCATAACTGTCTCTGACCGTTCTGACGTGAGTAGAATCCAGCATAATAACCATAACGGTTTTAATTGGAACTGCTTCCAACATTAGTTTTTTTTTTTCTGAGGCCCAATGAATTTCCATTAGCCTCCACTTTAATGGAGGCTAGTAAACCTCAGCAAAAAATAGAGTAAATAAGCTAAGTAAAAAGCTAACGTGTTAATGTGTGTATGTTCCGGGCCAATGTCTAATACTGTCTGCCACGCAGCACCTCCTTATATCTCTCCAGCTCCTGAACGAAGGTGCGTTCGTGGAACAGGGTCTGCAGCCTCTCCTGGGTGTAGTTATGGCAGAGCTCCTCGAAGGTGGCGCCTCGCTGCTGCTGAGCCAGGCGAGGATTCTGGAAACCCGGAGTGTCCACGATCAGCAGCGAGCACAGAGAGTGCTGGCTGGACTTCAGAGCCCTGAAGGACAGAAATGGATCATGATGCAGCTTTGACACTGGGAAGCCAAAGATATAACATGTTTATGCACAACAGAGACTAGATCTTCGTTTAATGTTTCCTCATTCTGAATATTTTTACAGAAAATCAATATACAACAGGGAGGCAGAATAAAAAGAACGGCCGTGAGTCTTTTATGAGATACTTTTTTATGCTAATACATAAATTGTAAAAGTTTCTGACCGTATCAGAGGTTCTGTACTGTATTAGTTAGTTTTATTGTTTGTCCAATTCACTTGTATCGGTGTAAACTAACAATAAGGTTTGGTATCAATTCCTTTAGGGTGTGTAAACTGTAAAGATGCAGCTGTTTGCAAAGGTTTGATGATTATATGGTGATAAAAAAAGAAAAAAAAAGAAGAAGAAAGCCCCTGCAGACAATAAAAAAAAACATGAGCCATGAATAATGTTAAGTGAGGTTGTGTAGCAGCCAGTGGCACTAGAAGCATTACACTAATGTAAAGTGTGGAAAGTATAGAAAGATAAATGTGAAACCTTCACGATTAGATGTGACATCTGTGAGTAACACCGTGTGTGGTGGGTTTTCTAAAAGAGCTGCTGCAGAGGCTGTCGTAACAAAGGCGCAGTAAAAACGAAATGAATTGAAAGAAGTGAAGCAGCACATTGATTTCACAGACACCGATATGTAACAAAGCCACAACTAATTGTTGCAAAACAAACGCATCTGAACAAAAGGTACTCCTGGAAGGAAAATTCAAACAACACTATGGATCTGCAGACTGTGTATGTGTACCACAGTAAAGAGTTTATTTGTCTTCTAACATAATAAATGTGGTTTGAAATTGCTGTGACTAATCGATGCGTCAGTGTTAAAGTGCTTTCACTTTTAAAAAGGGATGAAAGAGATGAAGAGAAGCCGTGAGGGAGTTCGGCGTAAACACTGACAGGAGATGAAGTTGCACTTTAAGTGGAATGTGAAGTGTGGCAGTGGAATTAGCTGGGCCGTCCATTCGCTTCACATTTGAAGCTGGAGCTGAACAATGAGTTTGATGCTAGAAAATTAATACGAGGGACTTAATAAGTAGGTTTGAATCTGCATCCCATCACAGAAGAAGACTTGAGATCTGAAGCTGTCTCATATGTAATAACTACAATATAAATGCTTCTTCTACTTCCTGTACAATAAAATTAAAAGAAAAATAAAAGTGATATATTTGAGTTTGGTTGATATTGTGACAGCTGACCTGTTTATGAGGGAGATGACAAGAGTGAAGAGCTCTGAGTAGAGTCCTGATGCCATGGCCTCCAAACACTCCAGAGCTGTGACCTTAGAGCCTGAGAGACAGAGGGGAGATGAAGACGCAGCTTTGGAACAAACTACTGCTGACAGACTGTAAACCAGACATCCAGGTTATATGTCTACCCTTTATAAGCAAAACACAGGAAAGGGTTTAACAGCGAAAGCATTTCAAACATGAAAAACAACCACTTAGGGATGCCGACCTAACCTTGATTCTTCTAAAGCGCCGATCAAATTGTGTTCAGAGCAAAGAAAAGTAGAAAACAAGTAGTTTCCAGATTTAAATTAGAATATTAAACTATATCTTCCACAACTATCAGTTAGGTATAGCTGACCGCATCGTGAACAGCCAACATCAGCGTGCACATGATCGAACACATGAGATTAAAGACGCTGCAGTTGGGTGTGTACCTGAGCTGTCGCCTTGGCCGCCGTCGTCCTGTGCTCCTCTGAATGACGTGGAATGCTGCAGCCCTTTGGCCTGGTGCTTAAAGACGGAAGAGGAGAGCTCCTCCAAAGTGCAGCCCAGCAGGTAGGCTGCTTTCTGGGCCCATTCATGACGGGCAAACTGCCTGCGTCCCGCTAAAAGAAAAAAAAAAACATGTATCAAATACAAGATCATATGTATCAAGGACCCGAGGAGGAAAGATAATAAAGACGACATGAAGAGGGCGGAGGATGAATGGTGTAAAAAGGGGGCATGCTTAAACAGAGATCCATGCTCGAAGAAAATGCATGTGTGGTTTCTGTCAAGCTGCAAAACGCTTTTGCTTTCTCTTAGCTAAGGCTAACACAAACTGAAAACACACTGTAAAAGCACAAATAGAGTATCGACCACAGTCTTAGCCTTTAATCCAGATAAGAATTTCTCATGGCAGGTCTGCGCCGTGTATCCAAAAGAGATGCTTTCTCTCGGTGGCTGACTGGAGCTGAAGGAAAGGAAGCTGTGAGGTTTGTGTGAAAACTGACAGATTCTTTTCTTCAGGTGAGTTTTGTCTTCTGCAGAACGGTTACTCACTGAGCACTTTATTAGGAACTGAATAACACAATCAGTCAATCATATGGCCGCAGTGCAGGTATTGAAGTCATGCAGTTGCAGGTCAGGAGCTTCAGATTGGAAAAACAATATGACCTCGGTGACTTTGACTGTGACGTGGCTGTCGGTGTCAGACATTACTGGTTTGGGTAAATGTGAAACTGCTGATATCCAAAGATTTTCAGACACAGAAGTGTCAGTTTCTACTTGTTTATATTGGATTCTTGCAGCAGGATAATGCTCCGTGTCACAAAGTCAAAGTGTCAAACTTCATGAACGTGACAGTACGACAGGAGCTACCAAGCGTTCCTAATAAAGTGCTCAGTGACTGCATTTCTTTTTCTGACAGGCCTGATTTTGTGAGTTTGTGATTTAAATCTTCTAAATTAGAAAAATCACATCTCAGTAAATCGCCCAGCCCTAGGATGTACTGATGGTTGGAGCGTCTAATACCTGAAGATAACTGCATATTAATTTACAGGAAACAATGCAACATATACAGATACATATATTATTTTACGGAGAACACCAGTAACTAACACTGTGTGCTCTATTATTTTAATATTATATTATTATATTAGCGTTATCATGTCCATCATAATCATGAGCCCTGGTGTTCCTTCAGGTAACGTTCCTAACATTTAACACATCCTGTACGTGGCATGTTAATCATTGAACTCTGTTGCACTTTGTTGTGAAGCTCCTTTAAGAAAGGTTATATCTCCTGACTGTCTGTGTTCGCCTGTATGAGGAGAGCATCTCCATTTAGTCAGGAAGCAATTCAAAGCCCATGTATTAGAGCGAACCACGGCGTCAAAGACTTTAGTCACGGTACCTGAGAATTAACAGGAGCCTTTACCGACACAAAATTCACGGGGGAACATGGGCTAAACTGGCAAATACAAGTTCTGTGGTAGAAAATCAAAAACACCAACTAGAAGTAAAAAAATGAAGACGCTTTACTTTACTTTCTTGCTTTTGAGAATGTGTTGCATGAGAACATGTGGGCGGCATGCAGAGGAATCAGAGACAGGTGTTTAAAGAGACAGCAAAGTTGTAAACCCTGTAATTTTCAGCTCACTAACACAGAAAGCGGTGAGACACAAAGAACTGTCTCGAGGCAAACAGCAGTGATGAGGTGAAGAGAGGGGGAGGAGAGGCAGCAACAATAAATATACGCTAATGACTTTAAGGCCTGGGAGGACTGATAAAGGCATTAAGACAGAAAAAACAAACAAGAGAGGCTCTGAAATAAAGTTCTTGAAATGAAAAACTATCAACAACTTGTGTTTTTCCGTTACCTTCATCTCCGTCTGTGTTTGATAGGGCACAGCATGCAAACATGCAAGTAAAGAGAGGGGGTTAGAGATAACACCGTTCATGGACTCATCAATTCAAAGGTACAGGAATGCATAAACATTAGTATTAAACAACACTGACAAAAACCACCCATCATGCTTTTGGAAGAGGGAGCTGAGAGGTTAGATATGTCAGTGTCAGTACCAGTGGATGCTGCGTCCTTGAAGCATTTCCCCCCCCCCAAAAAAAGACAATTAACTGAACTGAAAGCCTTTATCTTTTTCTAAATGACAACACTCCTGTGCATAAAGCACTTCAAACTGGTACTGCCAGACTAGTGTGGAAGAACTTGATGGGTGTGTGCGCTGAAGTCGAAGCACCACCAGAGCACTGACTAAAGAAGCAGTGATGGACCTCACCAGTGCTGCTGTGGCTAACTATCTGCATGGTTAGATACAACTAGAGGGAGAAAGGGTTTTCATATTTGTGCTTTTATGTTAACAAGCACAAACTAAAAAATCTGCTCGGACAGCATTTTATAATCCTAACGTCCTGGACGGTGTGTGCATTCAAATATCAAGACTGACACCTAGTGGCAGTCAGTAGAGTTGCATTTAACATCTATGCAGATTTGAGCAGGGTCCTGTCATCATTTATGTCGAGAACTGAGGTGAAGGACGTAAAACATCTACATACTTCTTCTCACCTTTCACATTCTAAAATCCTTCTTCGTCTCCGTTTACACTTATGTGCTGTACAAGCACACAAATGCACAATTTTATCGTCTACGTTCTCGTCACGTGACGACCAACGCATTATAATTCCTCAGAAAATAATCTAGAAATGTCATACGCCCTGTTTTTGAAGTGTTTTCAGTCAGTAAGTCGGGAGCTCCTACCTTTAGTGGCTCCTGCAGCTCCCAAGTGGTAAATGGCCCCTAGGATGAGCCAAAGGGCTTTCTGCTCCTCACCGGAGATGCCCAGTACTTTCATGGCCGCCTGCAGCTTGGTGAACTGCTGCGAGGCTCGCTGCTTGTCGTCAGGCTGGAGAAGATCACATCAGATCACATAACATCAGATCTGTCAGTCAGTCAGTCAGTCAGTCAGTCAGTCCGTATGTAAATATGTATAATGGGGTTAGGGTTGTGTATATATTCATGTGAACAAAGTGACTACCAGCTCAAACATTAATATAGCCATTTGTTTCAACACAGGGCTTAAAAAAATACATATGAAAAACATGAAATGATTGAATTTAATTTCAGTGAAACCCTCTATTGTTACCTTAGACTGTGGTATGATCCCAAAAGCACTGTTCTCAGCCAGATGGTTGAAGTGCAGCTCCGTTCTGGATGAGAGGGATCATGGCGTTAGCAGAAAGACATCACGTTTACTCTCATTTCAGTGAACTGTGTGTCAGAGTTAAAATCAACCCAAATACCAGATCGGTTGTGACACTGAAATATAATGATCAATATTATATTTTCTCATCCTGTAAGTCACCTGAGGCTGCTGTCAGCTCCGGCCATCATGTAGTAAAAGATGTTGTAGGTGGACTCTCCCTCAGGTCGTCTGCTCACCCTCAGTTTCTCCAGCAGCATCGTCTAAGCAGGAGGAGACAGCAGGTGTCACACAGTGCATGTACTCAGTAAGTTGTGTGGTAGTGTGAGAGGGTGTCAGTGTTTCAGTGTGCAAACCCTCATCTTGTAAAGACTTTGGATTGTTTGAGTTTATTGAAGCTGCAGATGTTCTGTAGGTGTTGTGTGTTAAGAGTGAAGTGACTGAAGGAAGTAGTGTGAGTGTTTCACCTGGATGGAGGCGGAGGCCACCTGCCCAGCCTGGTCGAAGTCGAGGGACACAACATGGGAGAAGTGGCTGGCATTAGTGTTCATAGCCGTGGAGCTGTTGCCAAACGCCTCCAGGATGGTGTAGACTGCCTGCCACTTCTCAGCTGTGTTGAGAAATAAAATGAATGAATAAATAACACATTTGAAGAGTTCCAGTGTCTCTGTAGCCCCAACACTAAACTGTGACACATGCAACAGTCCCCTCCCTTCATCAGATGCAACATATTGCTATCACAGCACCTAAATGCTTTCTTGATCATTTCAGAAGACGTCAAACACGTTAATCAATTCTGCCCTACCACAGAAAAGAAACGTTTGGCTTTACTGAGCTAAACACACACATACACTTCGAATGCTTTCCCTGTTGTTGTTATAAAGCACTCTGTCTTACTGTGGGTGCAGGTGGAAATGAAGTGCTGTGCTTGAAGCGGTTGTTCCTACAACATCTTGTTCCAACACAGTTTTTAGTATCATCTAAAAAGTTCTTATTCCATCGATAACAAACTGAGATTTAGTGGATGAAAAAGTAGTTGAAGTCGAGGTTGACTTAAATACTGATGGGATGTCTTCACTGTTGTCAGTCGGGTTTATTATTGTCTAAATCTCACCAACACATTTACCACTTGTCTTTAGCACTGACAATGAAACTGGAGAGATGGATGCATTAAAGAATGATACCTGTTTATTTGCACTTAGACGTACCTTCTCCTTCAACCTCTGATGAATAGATATGCACACTTAGTGTTCCATGAGGTTTAATTATTGATTTTATTAGTTTTACCTGCAAATTTGAAATGCATATGTACTTTTTAAAATTAAGACCATATTATATTCAGAGATTAGACATTAAACAGTTCCCATTTACAGCACAACATTATTCAAATTCACGTGATATGCATAACACGCAGTCCGCAGGCTCACCAGAGAAGATTTTGCCCGTGCTGCCAGCGATGGAGACCAGATACTGCAGCAAGTGCTGACAGTTGGTGGTCTTGCCGCTGCCAGACTTGCCCAGCAGCACGATCGACTGATCCTGCCGAGTGGTGAGCAGGTTGCGGTAGGCCGACTGAGCCACGGAGTAGATGTGAGGAGCCGAGTCATCGCGGCGGCAGCCTTTGAACATGTGCATCACCTTATGAGGGAGGAAGAAAGGAGGAGGAGAAGGATACATGCCGCAGGGGAGGAGCACAAGAGAAGGACAGTGATGGTTATTGGTATCAGGTCAGAGCACTGAGAGTGAGTTCAGCATACTCCGACCGATCAAACGTGAAACAGCCATCAGCCGTAAACGTACCTTCTCAGAGTACATGGAGGGTGTGCTGAGGGGGTTGATGACCACCATGTTGGTTCCGGCATAGGTGTGAATCAGATTTCCTCCATAGCGCTGCCTCAGACAGTGCATCACACTGGATTCATTCAGATAGAGCAGTGAAGCCAGGTCCTCTGATCGGTCATATGATGGAGGGTTGGCCTGCAAATGGAGGGTGGAGAAAGATGTGTAACAATGATGGCAGATACTGAATATTTAACCTGATCAGGGGAAACCATTGGACTAATACTTTAAACAGGGGTTAGTTAAAGGTGCTGTAAAATTATCCAGGGCCACAACTACAGTTTGTCTGGGTTCAAGCACAAATAAGTGGAGTGCCACTAAGAAAACGCCGCTCCACCACCAACACCAACTCTGCAACTACTAATTCAAAATTATGCTTCATATATTTTATTAACTGCTAGTGTAACCACTGATCAGGCTTTGAGTACACATACATTAATTATAAGAGGAATACAGAATGCACAACCCTCCCTCTCTCTCCTGCCTCCCCTTTCCTTTCCTAAGTAGAATCTCTTCTGACAGTGATTCTGCAGATGTCTGGATAGTGAAATCATTAAATCGTCAACTAAATGACTGACAACTTTTTTGTCCTCTGGGTGATGCGATGAGTATCACTGTCAAAATCTTGGCATCGGCACTCATAACAAAGGCTGTTTTGTTCCGGTGCACATATCTTCAGAGGTTTTGGAAACGTGTGAGAGGGAAAAGAGCTGCAGCCAAGTGAGCAAATGTCAACAGTTGGCAACTGCCACCTGCCAAGCTTCCTGAACTCTCCCAAACCTTTCCCATAATTCCAGGTGGCTGTCAGTGTCCTCTGTGGCTCCGCTGATGCCCATTAGCTTCAGGCTAGATCTGCATCTATCTCTTAATTGTCCCTGGTAGCTGCTGAATAAATAAAATAAACTAACACTCGATTCTGTTTTATTTTAAAATGAATATCTGACTTGAGCGTGGGATGACATAAATGACAAAATAATACAAAAGAGATATCCGCAATACTGTGCAATAGAAACAGTAGTATGCTGTACATACATGACATAAAATAAAATATCACCATTCATGTAACACTGCTGTTAATAATGATAATAATTATATAATAATTGAATGTTTGCAGTCATCTCCCACTCACCTTTTCTATGTCGTCTTCGTCCACATCCAGTATTGTCCCATCGTGCTCCAGTTTGATTTTCACCTTGCCCTCTGGCAGGGATCCATCCTCTGTCTTAACCACAGTGGCTGTGCAGAGAAAACACTTTTCAGTAAGAATGTTAAATTGAAAGTACTAGTTAAATGTCCTACAGTGGCACGATGACATGGAGATGACGACGCTATACAAATAAAAAGTCATGTTATCTCATCTCACCCAGGGAGAAGCCATCTTTGTGGACGAGCCAGACTTTCTCTGATCCATACCAGGCCTGCTCCGCGGCGATCTGCTCCTCTGTCTTCACCTGGTGGACAGAAAGGACAGTGAGAAAATGAGTGGAAGAAAAGTATTTCTGTCAAATTCACAGCACTCTTCTGAAATCGCCAACCTTTCCAGTTTGTATTACATGCTGAAAGGTCATGAAGGGAAAGCTTTTCAAGTGTGAGAAATTTCAAACCAGAAACACGTCAATGTAACAGCTACATGGGGGTGTGAGAAGGGTTTAACCATAGACGTATCTAAGGATGGACGACGTGACAGCTCCCCAAAAGTGAAGCCAAATCATCTTGATCACCTCCTGGCATCTGTTCGCCTCAGCTATGTTAGCAGATTGGACATGAACCAAAGAAATAAGTAAAAGCACATGTCAAATACATGTTTCAAGAGAGTTTCCGTATCTTTAGATAGATCTTATCACACTGATGTTTGGTTAAGTGTTGAGGTAAGTCTTGATTTGTCAAGGGTGTGAATCACCCGGACCTCAATAAAAAGCTTCTAGACCAAGATAAGTACTGCAGACTCTGCCGTAAAAAAACTCATGATGGCGACACCAGTGTCTGGGATATTTAGGCTTCATTTTTGTACAGTGGGAGATAGTGGAGACACATCGTCCACCTTTTATACAGTTTATGGGTTTAAAAGCAAATCTGGTGAAGAAAAACAAGAAAACTAGAAGAAATGCAATAAAAATGCATATGACAAAAAAGTAATAAATAAAATGAATTTATGATATTTTTTGATGTAAACAAAGGACCAAATTAAGTCTTTTAAGTATTTTGATGAATACTTGCAGTAAATTTCTAAAGTAGGGAAAGTAATCACGACACACAAAACTTCACAAGCAGAGGAAGAGAGCACAACACAGCACAACACTCCAAAGTGAACACTGGTGAATGTGGGACGAGCTGGTGGTGAATTACACTCAGGCACAGTGAAGGCCAGACCTGGGATTGCTGCGCTGCAGCATGAGATGCCTGAAGGAGGGCCACAGGATCCTTTTCCTCTGAGCCCTGGTGATTTGGCCAGCATGAAGAGGTCAAAGGTCACAGTTATATATGAGCGACACATGTTGTAAAGGCACACACACACACACACACACAAACAGATAAGATAATATGAAAAACTCTACATTGTGTCGCTGCACATAAACCAAGAGTCTGTACACTTTCGCAAGGGAAATCCAGCTCACGCTACAAGCATGAGCAAATGTCATCGTAGATCTGCTTTAAAAGATTTACAGTGTCATTTCTGAAATGGTTCAAGATTGATTGAATAAAATGGATGTCAGAGTCAGTCATGAACCCATCATGTCACACAACAGAGCACTGAGAGCACCTTAAGCGTAATAATTAGCTGCACAGCAATCACACTCTTCATTCTTCATTCACTCAAATGAAAGAATTACAGGTATTACAGGTTAAGGTCTTGTTTCTTTCATGTAGGACATGTTCAGTGGCTATACTATTCCACTGAACGTGTCCTACACTTATTTCTGATTAACAGGAATTATAGCGTCAACATGTCCTGACCTTTCTTTGAGTGTGGTTTTCATGCTAAGTGACACAGTTTAAGAGAAAATAAATGCTTCTACCTGAATTCATCCATTTCAACAATATGTTCAAAAGCATGAAGACCATGAGGGTTAACAATAAATCTGCACTAGAATCAGATCAGTCAAACAGAGGAATGATTTCACGTTAAGGGTTTGAAAACAGGAATAAAGTTAGAGGGTCTCTGGGCCTTAAAATACAACAAGCAACACAAATACAACCTCCAGCCAGGGGCACCAGAGGAAGGCATGGGGGCTGCTGTACCTGGAGGGAACCCTGAGCCTGCAGGGCGGCAGGGGCTTGGACAGAGGACGAAACATTGACTGCTGCTGGCTCCAGCTTAGCCGCAAAGCAGCCACAGAGATGATGGCAGCCAGCAAATGCAGGGTGAGTAAGGTGAGGAGAGAGGGAAAGAGAGCGAGGGGGAGGGACAGGACAAGGTCAAGATGGATTTTGCATGAATAAAATGCAGTGAATGACAACAGAAGCATAAGAATGTGACCGAGCAACGGAAAAAGTGAAAATTGCTTTGAATTAAGAGACACTTTGCATAAAATGATCAGAAACACAATGTGCTTTCAAGCTGAAGACCAGAGCCGTAATATCAAACTCAAACGGGTAAATATCAAACCAGGTGGACCTGAATTCCATTCGCTTGGTGGAGGGTGTTAAGGTTGTTCACATGTTCTATTGTTCCTGACAGCTGACTCAACCCCTGGATTAATCATCAATACAAATGAGAAACAAAGCGTCTTTGACCGCAAAGTCAAATATGTTACAAGCCTCTGGGTATAAAAATGAATGAGATCAACTGTGATTCTAGAAAGCTCAACTATGCATAACGAAAGTTGTAAATACATTCAGCTGTTAATATGCGTCACTTTCATAAACAGCCAGATATAAACTTTGAATGAACTCAGACTCTGTGGTTCTCTGGTTCTCTGGTTAAACGGAGCTATAATTGTTGTATAGTTTTCTGCATTGCCATCACCTGGTGGACTGGAGTGGAACAGCATGTCAGTGGTCAGTTGTTTATACATTGTTTATACGTCAGCAGGCTAATTTGCCTTATCCTGCCTATTCTTTAGACCACGCTGGAAACGCATGCAAACAGTGGCCTGCAGGAACCTTTTAGGTCCTGGGAAAAGGTGCGTTTTGTCAAAACGCGGCTAACGTATAACAAGTGTGGGATATTACACAGAACACTAAAAAGGGTTCGAGCTTTGAAGCCAGGACGTCAGCAGAGAGGATTAAATTTCACTCCGTCATGAGTCACAACCGACAGATCAACAGTTGCCTCAGTCGGGATAGCAACAGACACCCTGGGACTATTTCTCTCTGGTATGTGCCTCTATAAGCAAACACCAACAAACTATAAGCATGTTAAGCACATAGAGCCATGACGGAGACGGACACACATGAACTGGAGAGAGGACATCAACAACATGCAGGTGGACAGCAGGGGGATTTACAGGGGCACTGAAGATCCTCATCAGGCGTCTCTGAGCCTCCTCGGTGGGACTGAGCCGCGTCTCCTACGAGTCAAAGCAGCAAGCAACAGGTTGAAACTAAGCCCACTGATAAAGAAGCAAAGCCTATGACACCACACACTTACAAAACATATGAATATGCGATGAATTCCTATTACAAGTCTAACACCCAGTCAGCCACATCCATTTAAATTGTGTATTACAGGTAACCAAGTCTGCACACAGACAAACACACACTTGTCACACACACACGTCATCGTCATGACAGTATAGCAGTTTGAATTCATGTGGAATCCGACGTGAAATCAATGTAAGGCAAAAAAAATTGCACAACCGTGCTTCAAACGGCATGCACACACTATATATTAACATATATTAACCATTGTCTGGTTAAGAGTGAAATATTTGCAACAAATCAGCCAAGCAAGTGAGAAGAAAACACACAGAGCCAGCATAACTTAAATCAATGTAATATTCTTAGGCCAATCCACCAGGACCAAACCCCAAACCCACTGCAACTATAGGGGTCATGGCAGTAAGTGAAACATGAGCATATCTAATAACTCAATATCTGTCCTGCAAAATGAATTAGATAGTGAGTATTTCTTATGGATTTGGAATCTACAACATCTTTCATTTCAAATAGTGAAGTTTGGCAAAGCTATCCAGGTTCACCATCTGTAAAGTTCCTGCTCAACAGTTTAAAGCCCCATGACAAAATGTTTCCATCACAACAACAGTCGTTTATCCTGAGGTTTTGAAATACAAGTCACGGAGTCATTCAAATTGTTCAGATCGTTCTAGCGATTACTTTGCAATATAGCTAATAGTGAGAGGAGATTGTGGCAGCACAAAGAAAGCTAATGGAGCTACCAAGTTATAAAAAAAACATTCTCTGAGAGCCATCAATATTTAAACCATATTCCATGGTAGTCTGTTAGACTCTCATTCTAATTTAGCAAGTGGGCAAAACTGAGAATCCCAACCTACATCTTTACGTACAATTGTTTCTTTACCGCTGGGCATGGCTTATGCACTTTCAACACACAACACTCATTGATGCTAAAACCTTTTCTTGTTCCAGTCTGGGAACGTGCTGGGAAAATGAACAGATGGACAGCAATTGAATCGACTGACAGGATCCGCATCCTTTGTCCCTGCCACCAGCGGCTCAAAGAAAAATTATTAAGTTAACCTAGCCCTCATTAAAGTGATTATTGTTATTTCATGCTCCGCAGCTTGTGTACAATCGCATCAAGTGACTCTAGGATCGCACCACACTGAGGTTACACACACGTGGGGTCTGCAAACAAACACCACAGTGCTCTTTTACTTCAAACATGCATTTCAAATGGCCATGCAATTTCCACATGAACGTCTGAAATGTTGACCAGACATGCGAAGTACGGACACTCTACTGTACCTCTTGTTGACTGACAGCAGGTTTCTGAATGGGAGTGACTCTTGGAGGGGGAGACAGTGGGACGGCATTGGGACAGGGAGGAGATGGATTCACGCGGGATGCAAACTGAGAGGATTTCGGGGCTGGGATAAAGCGTGATGGAGGAGATAAGGAGTTGGCTTTTTGGACAACTAAGGTGGTAGGTCGAGGAGGATTTGTGGTGGTGGATTTAGGTTCAGGTGTGACACCAGGGGATGGAGACAAGGGTGAAGACTTGGAAGATGGGGTCAAGCCAGCAACTGGTGAGAGAGACGGTCTGGAATGAGGCAATATGGAAGATGCTGCAGCTGAGCCCATAGAAGCCCTGATGGTTGGGTTTACAGCAACCGCAGGAGATTTGACCCTCTGTGTAACTGGATCAGAGCTTGTGAGTTTGTGATTGACTTCCTGTTGTTTTATCGAAGTTACATCCTCTTTGTGGTCTTCCCTTCTTTCTTCTTGCTCAACTTGTTCTCCCTTCTTCTCACTTTTCCTCTCTAACTCTAATTTTTCTGGTCGTTCATCATTGCGTACTCGTGGGCGC